TCCCGTTACGTTCATCAGTGTCATTACAGCAAAAACTTTTCTGGCGTTGCATCAAAAACTGTGGCGATCAACATAAACCTTTGAATAGTATTGCAAGCACTTAACAGATAGCCAGTTTCTTGTATGCAACTTGTCACGTATAGAGAGATTTGTTTCCTTAGTGGCAAATGCTCTCAGCCTATTTGAGTACTTGAGAAGCTTCTCTCACTCAAATATTTGCCGCACTTGGGTGGCTATTTTGCCTGTTTCGTCTTAATTATTTTTCGACAATTTTGGGTTCCCATTAAGCCAGAGTTATGCACAACGCTATTATTATATACCGTCATTTTATAGTTGAGGTTGAGGTCTTTTCTGTACTTCACTGCCTCAACCTTGAGCATCTGTTTACCACAGCGATGGTATTCTCTCCGCAGATGACATAGAGAAGCTCTGAAGCGTTGCCTGTCGAGGCTTTTCACTTCACAGGTTAAACGGTGATCATATCTACCAGAGGCGTTTAGGAGGGCCGTTGTACACAATGCTTACTGCGAACAATTGAAAACAAACCAAAGTCGAATGTATTAAGTTTTTGTCATGGTTTGTCTCACGTTGACTATCAAAAACTCGAAATGGAGGGCTTGGTTTTTGCGTGTGACAGCCCAACAGCTATGGACGATGTTTGATTAAATCATTTTCCAAACTCTGACTTCATATAGCCGCAGTGGGAGCGATCGTTGCCTGCTTCGCGCAGTAAAAATTTCTCATGATCGTTCCAGCCTAATGGCAAGAAAACACCACCACGGCTCCAACAGATTCATTCGCTAGGGGCCAAGGATTTCGCCTCATTAAATTGAATGTTTTCCATTGTTAGCAGTTAGAAGCTCTGTCCCACCTTAGTGCGCCATTTTCGAAAATAAGGCTTGAAGGGATCGTCATTTCGTCACAGTTTAAATGGCAATATGACACGATGCCAATTGTTTCATGCTGCTAATGCAATGCGCCACTTTAATTTTACATACGTGCTTGTAAGGTTTGAGTTGGTTCGCTTCAAAAACATCCCTTGTTCTACGTTGTTTCGCAAATGTTTTCAGCATTGGTAAAATAGCTGTTTTTCTATGGATGATGCGAGTTAATAGCGTGTTGTCGATGCTTGTGCATTGATCATTTGCGAAAGACGTAAATATTTCTTATTACTCATTAATGAAATCACCGTATGCTAGTGTTATATCAACCATATGATCTTTTGATCTGAGGAAGAGGCGAGATGTCCATAAAGCCAAATTCTCTTACTTTGAGTACTCTTGTCAGCCATTTCTAAGAAATGCAAAACCATCGGTACTGTAATGCTCGTTGTGTACTTTGAAGAGATTGGCTTCTGTGCAAATGCACATGAAAGTGCTGAACCTGTTTACGGATGCACTTGTCGGTTTAACCGATTTTCATTAGCGTGTAAACAGAACCCGTTGTTGACAAAGTTTGGCCAAGTTTATTTCCGCCTCTTGAGAGTTTCGAAGGGCTCGCAACGGCTGGTGCCCGCAGACGCCGTTCCGGGCCATTCTCACCGCCGCCAAAATCCAATCCAAACTTCTTTGCAAAACGTAACACAAAACTATGGCGACGGCAAAAGCAAACATTACTCAAAAACGATCACAGAATCAAAAACACCAAATCATCAATTCCATTTGCGACGCCTTTCAACACCAAATCAACACTGCAGCATGTGAATCTATCAAACCGGTATATGCAATAAGATCCTTGAATTTTCCATCATAATTCCACAACACGTCATTTGCGTTTGCATTCACGATGAATTTATATGCTCATTTGTAATTTATTTTTCAGGTTATAAAGCTGCTAAAAAATTCATACTTTCTTATGCATTCATTTGTAAATGCTGTCAAGGAACAGTTTACTTTACTGCTATCCTCGTCACTGTAGTTTTCTGTAAGGGCAAAGTTTTGAAAATATTTTTAAAAATACTCAAAAATATTTATTTTGAAAATAAAACTTCTATAAATTTTTGACCAGTTTAAAATTAACGTTTCGCTCCATTCTCGAAGTATGGTCGAGTCAATTTAGAAATAACGAGTCTGGATTTAGTTCAAGGGAAAGAAACGCTCAGGATTACATTCGAAAATTCTAGAAATATTCTGTCTTGGTTGCAAGATAGTTTTTTTTAATCGAATGTTCTCTTTTTGTTGGAATCCATTTTGCCAGTCAGTTTTTTCCCAGGCTTTAAATCGTCTGTCTTTGGTCTTGCATCATCAAGCAGGGACAAACAAGAATATGAATTTAAAATTTTTCACTCTTTTCATAAACGCCCAGGTACTAATAACGCCAAATACTTAAGGTTTTCTACGTTAACGAATGAAACCTCTAGCTTTAGGCTAACTAGGCGATTGTTAAAGTAACTGCCAGATGTAATCCTTGCTAATCGAAGAAGAAAAATGTTATGTATATGGCGTACAGTATTCTCTCCCAGTTAGCACCTAATACATATGTGTAAACAGGTGTGATCGACTTGTACTTTCTATTTCTATTTATGTAGATATATGACATTTTGTAACATTAATCCGTATCATTGCAATAATAATAAGTTGACTTTTGGCTTAGCCTCCAGACTGGTGAAAACGGCATACTTTGGCAAAAAATGAATATAGAGAACGTCTGAAAGCAGAAGCAACCATTTTTTTTTTAAAATTTTGCCAAGTTCCTTGCAGTCTGGAACCTAAACTTAACTAATTAAACTTTTTTAAAAAACAGAGAGAAGAGGAAAGTAGTAAAGAAGTAAAGATGCTATTAAACATCACTTGATTCAACCAATTTCAATTGAATTCTAAAAGTAATCGGAACTGCAATCGCCAAGATTTCTCATGAATGAAACATCGTTCATTCGTGCCCTCTTCAGCAGTTTATGCAGCATGCATGGATAAACCTGTCCATGTTAAGATGGGTAAATCAGACTGTTTGTCTGTGCGACAATTAAGACTCTCTTTTTCTTGAAGATGTAAGTCATTCAAACTTCGAAAATTATTTTCTCTGATAGACGTCGGTAACCTGAGCATACAAAACAAAAGAAAAGTAAAAAAGTCAATTTTCGTACCTTTTTTTTCAATAACAATGACTGAGTGGAACCGGTTTCAGTCAGTCATAATCCGGTTCTAAGCAGATAATGTTCTTGTTAGACGTACTTGTAGTTATATATTATACAGACATGATATCGTTGATCCAATGTGACCGTTTAATTTTTTCACATGATTCTTTACAGGAAATACTAAGCAAAACTTATCTGACCTGAGAATAATTGCTTCGCATCCCCACGAATATCCACTTATGCGTCAGTGGCGAATTGTTTCCAGGTTCACAATAAGGGCTTAGGAGTATGATTCCATACCTCGTTCTGCCATTCTCCTTTGTGTGGTATTTTTGTGGGAGGTTGATGACCTTCATTACCGGAAAATTAAACGGCTCATCGACTTCAACGCAATACCGCATGATCTATGACACAAATCTGATGGTCACGACGTTTGTAGTCCGCAAGAATGTAATAATATATGTTGAGGTGACTGTCATCTATAATGCCATTTCGACATCACGTCGCGAAAATTAGGAATGACCAACGTACGAAATAAAGTCGTAGTGCAACGTAGGTCATACAACCATTTGAGCCCTTGCAGTAGCAGTAAACACCTGCCATAATCTATAAAATGACCGCTAATGAGACCCTGTTTGCTGGATTTCACACAACTCCCTATGTTTTAAAGGCAGCTCTTCTCGAAAGAAAGAAACTCTGAATATAAACCAATATCAGAAACAAATTAACATGGAAGAAAGAATAATGAGATATTTTCATTTTGCCTTCGATCGACTGAACAGATAATGACACGAGGATATATTATATGCAAAATATGACCATATAGTGAGCTTCGAGCATTCGAAGACAGTCGGTACTTTTGCAACTGGCATCGTCGAGTCATTAACTATCAACATCGACTCAGAAATGTTAACAAAACCTTACAAAACTAGATGACAATTACATCTAAGATTAGCATCCGAAGATGGACTAATTCTTTC